TATATATACATATATATATATATATATATGTATATATGTATATGGTGGGAGGATATCTTTATGGATAGGAGACAGAGGAGGGCACATGATGTGATGAGCACTGGCTATTATATGCAACTAATGAATCATTGAACATTATATCAAAAACTAATGATGTACCATATGTTGGCTAATTGAATTTAAAAATTTTAAAAAAGGAGACAGGTAAAATTGTATAAGAGAAATAAAGTGGTAGAGTTATGTGTCCACAGTTTGGGAATCTGGAGGCCTCATTTCTATTCTGGGCCTAACAGTTTGACTATAAATAGACCACTTGGACACTGTATAACTCTATTTCTTTCTCCATAACTTGAGGCTCACTATATCTGCTCCCAACTCGCCCTATCCAGGGGACAGAGAGAGAGGCACACTGGCAGTATTATATAGCATTTCTCAGACTTGCCCTTCTCAACATTTTCAGGACTTCCAAGTCTCATCAAATCTGCCCCCACTGTTTCTAACAGCACCCAACTTATTTCTGGGAGTGAGTTTCCAGGGGACGCTAGCTTTCAGAGCAGAGTCCGAGTCTGCTTCATTTAGTTGCCCTGTGCACATAATTTGACCAGTGCATGAGCAGAATCATAGGGCTATGAAGTTTCCATCTTCCAGGCTCTGCTATCTCTACTATTCTGGAGGTCCCAGGAGCCTTCCAGGAATTGCTTCTTGGTCTGGTATGATAGAAGAAATCCCATCTTGGGCAGCAGGCATCCTACTTCTAGTCTTAGCTCTGCTAATGGCCAACCAGATAACTGCAGGAAAGTTGGTCAACCTTCATACTGGAGAGGAATAACCATCGAAAAGCATCAAGCCAGTGGTCTAGGCCCAGACCCTGTGGGGGAAAAAAAAATGCTTTATAACTGCCCAAACCTACTTGAAGAGAAGGAGGTAAGGACCTGGATTTCACTGCCAAGCCCTACCCCCTCCAAGCCTCCAGATATGTGTCCCTGACTTTCTGCTCCCAACTGTCTGGGACCAAAAGGTAACCCTTTAAACTAGGCTTGGGAGTTGGGCTTTTAGGGAGTCAGGAAGGGTGCAGAATTCGGACAACTGAAATCTGGCAGGGGGCCAAGGGGGAGCAGGAATTCAGAATGAAAAGTAGAACCATAGTTGACAAAGGTGTTAGACTGACATTGGGATACCAACACTTACTGCTTTGGACATCAAGTAAAAGAGGAACTTAACTTACGTGTGTGATTCACAGAATTTATTCAAAAGGTAATTTTCAAAAAATACATGTGGAATTTGAGTTCTATGTATTCAAATTGACGAGAATAAATCTGGAACACAAGGAAAAGTTGCTACACCTATTCGGCTATTACGTAGATAAGGAACAACAACAAAGTGTATCATAATCCCCAATCTCTAATTTGTTACCCTCCTTTTGACTAGTTTGAAACCTTACCATGTACCAAGTTTCCATGTAATATCTATATAACTATATATCTCTATATGTCTATATCTCTATATATCTATATAGATATAGATAGATAGATAGATATAAACAGTATGTAACTTCAAAACATGTGAAAAGCTATAGACTGGATGGCCCCAAATAACCTTCCAACTCCATGGCTTTCTCTCTCTCATTTCAGAGTTCTCATTGTTCTTTACCGAATTTTTCCATATTGCACAATTCTACGCACTGTTAATATCACTTCATCTGCACCAGCCTAGACATTCCGAAATGTCAAGTAGCAGTCACTGTGGGACTTTTATAGGGACCAAAAGTACACACACACGTAATATGTAAGACCATCATGCCCTGAAAAATCCTAACTGTATTTTATATATAGGTTCAAATAATACTTTTAATACTCAACATTTATGTTTAAATCCATCCTTAATTTCAAAGCCCCAACAAACGTTACTCCTCAATGCACTCTAATTTACAGGGGAGAGAGATATATTTGCAATGGTGCCTTATCCACACAGCATGCAACACAATCCTAGGCAAAGAGGAGGACCCCAACATTTCCTACAGTAAAATCTCAAGGTGGGAAGGGATGTTAAAAGTTAATCTGCAGTAATCCTCATATGCAATGGTCCCACTGAGCATCTCCATTCATTCATAGTTTCTGTCCCCAGTGTTAATCTTCTGGTGCTGAACATAGAGTCTCTAAGGGCAGAAATGAGAGCTGATCTGGCAGAACTTCAAAATGCTATCAGTGAGATCCAATCTAATCTAGATACTCTTAACAGCCAGGGTAAATGAGGCAGAAGAATGAATTCGTGATCTAGAAGACAAACTGATAGAACAGAAGGAACAGGAGGAGGCCTGGAGCAAACAGCTTAAAACCCATGAACACAGAATTAGAGAAATAAGTGATGCCGTGAAATGTTCCAATGTCAGAATTATTGGGATCCCTGAGGGGGTGGGGGGGAGGGGGAGGGAGGGAGAGAGGGGGAGAGAGGGGGAGAGGGAGAGAGAGAGAGAGAGAGAGAGAGAGAGAGGACTAGAAGATATATTTGAGCAAATCATATCTGAGAACTTCCCTAATCTGGGGAATGAAACAAGCATTTGTGTCCTAGAGGCAGAGAGGACCCTTCCCAAAATCAAGAACGGACCAATGCCCCGGCATGTAAGAGTAAAACCCACAAATCTCAGAACCAAGGAAACCATCTTAAGGGCAGTTAGGGGGAAGAGATTCCTTACGTACAGAGGGAGGAACATCAGAATGACGTCAGACCTATCCACAGAGACCTGGCAAGCCAGAAAGGGCTGGCAAGACATATTCAGGGTACTAAATGAGAAGAACATGCAGCCAAGAATACTTTAGCTGGCAAGGCTGTCATTTAGCATGGATGGAGAGACGCAGCCAAGAATACTTTATCTGGCAAGGCTGTCATTTAGAATGGATGGAGAGATGCAGCCAAGAATACTTTATCTGGCAAGGCTGTCATCTAGAATGGATGGAGAGATGCAGAGCTTCCAGGACCAGCAGAAACTGAAAGAACATGTGACCACTAAGCCGGCCCTGCAAGACATATTACGTGGGGTTCTTTAAAAGGAGAAAGACGCCAGCAGTGATATAGAACAGAAATTTACAGAGACAATCTATAGAAACAAGGACTTCACAGGCAACATGACAACAATAAAATCATATCTTTCAATAATCGCTCTCAACACGAATGGCCTAAATGCTCCTATAAAACGGTACAGGGTTGCAGATTGGATAAAAAGACAGGACCCATCCATATGCTGTCTACAAGAGACTCATTTTGAACCTAAAGATATATCCAGACTGAAAGTGAAGGGATGGAGAACCATCTTTCATGCCAACGGACCTCAAAAGAAAGCTGGGGTAGCAATTCTTACATCAAACAAGTTAGGTTTTAAGCTAAGGACTGTAGTTAGAGACACAGAAGGACACTATATCATTCTTAAAGGATCTATCCAACAAGAAGAGATCTAACAATTGTAAATATCTATGCCCCCAACATGGGAGCAGCCAACTACATAAACCAACTGTCAACCAAAATAAAGAGACATATTGATAATAATACGTTAATTGTAGGGGACCTCAACACTCCACTCTCAGCAACAGACAGATCATCTGAGCAGAAAACCAACAAAGAAACAAGAGCTTTGAATGACACACTGGACCAGATGGACCTCATAGATATATACAGAACATTCCACCCTAAAACAACAGAATACTCATTCTGCTCGAACACGCATGGAATTTTCTCCAGAACAGACCGCATACTGGGTCACAAATCAGGTCTCAACCGATACCAAAAGACTGAGATTATTCCCTGCATATTCTCAGACCATAATGCTTTAAAACTGGAACTCCATCGCAAGAACAAATTTGGAAGCAATTCAAACACTTGGAAGCTAAAGACCACTCTGCTCAAGAATGTTTGGGTCAACCAGGAAATCAAAAAAGAACTTAAACAATTCATGGAAACCAAGGAGAACGAAGACACATCGGTCCAAAACCTATGGGATACTGCAAAGGCGGTCCTAAGGGGGGAATACATAGCCATCCAAGCCTCGCTCAAAAAAGTAGAAAAAATCCTGAATTCACCAACTAACTTTATACCTTAAAGAACTAGAGAAAAGACAACAAATGATGTCTAAGCCACGCATTAGAAGAGAAATAATTAAGATTGGAGCAGAGATCAATGAATTAGAAGCCAGAAACACAGTAGATCAGATCAACAAAACTAGAAGCTGGTTCTTTGAAAGAATTAATAAGATCAGTAAACCACTGGCCAGACTTACCCAAAAGAAGAGAAAGGACCCAAATTAATAAAATCGTGCATGAAAGGGGAGAGATCATGACTACCACCAAGGAGACAGAAAAAAAAATTATTAGAAATTATTATCAACAACTATATGCCAATAAATTAAGCAACCTGGAAGAAATGGATGTCTTCTGGAAACCTATGAACTCCCAAGACTGAAACAGGAAGAAATTGACCACCGGGATAGGCCAATAACCGGTAGCGAGATTGAAGCAGTGATCAAAAACCTCCCCCCAAAAACAAGAGTCCAGGGCCTGCTGGATTCCCCGGGCAATTCTACCAAATATTCAAAGAAGAAATAATACCTACTCTCCTGAAACTGTTTCAAAAAATAGAAACAGAAGGAAAGCTTCCGGACTCACTCTATGAGGCCAGCACTACCTTGATCTCCCAACCAGGCAAAGACCCCATCGAAAAAGAGAATTTCAGACCAATAGCCCTGATGAATATGGATGCCAAAATTCTCAGCAAAATCATAGCCAATATGATCCAACAGTACATTCAAAGAATCATCCACCATGACCAAGAGGGATGTACCCCCGGGATGCAAGGGTGGTCCAACATTCGCTAATCAATCAGTGTGATAGAACGCATTAATAAGAGGAGAGAGAAGAACCATACAGTCCTCTCAATTGATGCAGAAAAAACATTTGACAAAATACAGCATCCTTTCCTGATTAAAACTCTTCAGAGTATAGGGATAGAGGGAACATTCCTCAAGTTCATAAAATCCACCTATGAAAGACCCACAGCGAATATCATCCTCAATGGGGAAAAGCTGAGAGCCTTTCCCTTAAGATCAGGAACACGTCAAGGATGCCCACCCTCGCCACTATTGTTCAACATAGTACTAGAAGTCCTAGCAACGGCAATCAGACAACAACAAGAAATAAAAGGTATTCAAATTGGCAAAGAAGAAGTCAAACTCTCTCTCTTCGCCGATGACATGACACTTTACGTGGAAAACCCAAAAGACTCCACCCCCGATTTACCAGAGCTCATACGGCAATTCAGTTCGGTAATGTGGCGGGATACAAAAATCAATGCGCAGAAATCAGTTGCTTTCTTATACACTTACAACGTAACTGTAGAAATAAATTAGAGAGTCGGTTCCATTGACAATAGCACCAAAAACCATAAGATACCTCAGAACAGACCTAACCGAGGAGGTAAAGGATCTATACTCTAGGAACTGTGGAACACTCATGAAAGAAACCGAAGAAGACACAAAAAGATGGAAAAACATTCCATGCTCATGGATGGGAAGAATAAACACTGTTGAAATGTCTATGCTGCCCAGAGCAATCTATAGTTTCAACGTCATCCCGATCAAAATACCAATGGCATTTTTCAAAGTGCGGGTACACGCAACCCTAAAATTTGTATGGAATCAGAAAAGACCCTGAATCACCAAGGAGATGTTGCAAAGGGAAAACAAAGCTGGGGGCATCACGTTGCCCGATTTCAAGCTATATTACAAAGCTGTGATCACCAAGACCGCATGGGACTGGCACAAAAACAGACACATAGATCAGTGGCACAGAAGAGAGAGCCCAGATACGGACCCTCCACTCTACG